TTTTTCATGCTATTTTGGCTGTGCTGAATGAATACAACTAATTTGCCAGAGGATATTATTTTATTTTAATTTTAGAATTCTTGTCTCAGTTCCTTAGGCATATTATCACAATACATTTTGTGAAGGATGCTGCTGAAGAATGCTTTATTACAGTTAGCTGTAATAAATCACCGAAAATCACATTTATGTTGCTTTTTACAAAGACATCATTCCTGTTCTATAGGAATATAATCAGAATACAATCAGCAAGCAACTCAACTCATTAACAAAGACTCATATTAAGGGTAAGTAAAGAAAATGCCTCTTACCTGGCAGGGTGTTGAAGTCATCAATGAGGAACATGTGCTCCGTGTCTGGATCAGATGCGATTAGATTCAGTTCTTTCAGGAATTCGGCCTGCGTTGGGTCTGAGGTGTTAACGATCCCCAGGGCAAACATCTCAATATTGGCAGCGTGTGCTTCTCGCACAGCTATATCCAGCTTCACTGGTTCTCGCTTGTCGGTTTGCCCATCAGTAATCACGATGGCCACTTTGCTTACTCCCAAACGTGAACTATGGAAGACCTCCTGCGTCGCCTTGCGGATAGCTGTACCAGTGTAGGTGCCCTCTCCCATATATGGGATGTTTCTGATTGCATTCTTGACATCCTGTTTGGTGACATAGCGGGCCAAGTTGAATACAGTTCTCACCTCAAGGCTGTACAGGACCAGGCCAATCCTGGTGGCGTTTCGGCCCACTGTTACCCGGTCCACTAATGCATTCACAAAGTCCTTGATGATTTCAAAGTTCTCAGGCCCCACACTCTCTGAGCTGTCAATGACAAACACCAGCTCCATAGGCCTCTCCTTACACTTGATCCCACATCCTAGAATCACATCACATCAACATATGAGATCATGGCGGAAATGTCACATTGATGAGTTCCAGTCTGTGGAACTGGATCCAGCACTTTACAGATCAGATGACACAGTGGCTTTCATTGAGAAATTAAATCTACTACAATATTTATGCCATCAAAAGATATTTTACCACAGATCTCTTTGATCAATCGAATGACGTCTTCTCTCTGCAATGAATACACAATATAAGCATATGGATAATCACAAAAAGTAAAACGATACAGATATGAACACATGACACTCACAGTGAGGCCAGCTTCACCTTTGGCACCGAGTCGGCCCTAGGATCAAAAATATTAAAAAACGTTTATTCACAAAGTGTCACTGTTTCTGCAAATCTTCCAGTTTCATGTGGCAGACAAATGTCAGTAGCGATAACAAGCAGCATAGGAGCAGGTTCAGGGGTTGGAGCCCTCTCCCCAGCCATCACAAAACAGAACACAACAAACTGAGACATGAAGGAATCATTAGCGTCACTCACAGGTTGCCCTGGGGTTCCAGGGTCTCCTACATCTCCTTTGATCCCCTTCAGCCCCCTCTCCCCTGTCAAACCTCGATCACCCTGTTGCACACCACATTGCAAAACATCAGCACTCAAAAAATTATAAATGCTCACAACCCCACATTCAGTCACGGGTAACACAGTAACTGACTTTAGCTCCAGGAAAGCCTTCTCCAGGTATTCCTCTTGGTCCTACCACACCCTGGGCCCCCTGTTCACCCTGAATCAAACACACAAGGCAGTTGTGTTACAGCTTGTGATAGATACTTACAGGTTTAGGTAGTACACAGAGCCCTGGATGTCTTGATATTTTATAGATATGTGAATGTCTATCAAGGACAATAAATTACAGCCTACCTTTGGCCCTTGAACTCCTTGCCCTTGAGGACCTGTTGGCCCAGGTGGACCAGGTCTCCCAGGGTTACCCTGCAAGTCAAAACATGTTGCTTATATAACTACAGCTCAAGGTCAGTTACAAAATAGCTACAATGTGACAAAAAAGCAGATTTGTAATTTACGAAAGAAATATTTGTTGCAGCCATACAAATGGCACAGTTACTGGGGTCAAGGCAGCAGACCTGCTGACTTGCTGTTCACATAAGTATACCGGCTCCACCTGTGGCGAGGTGTAGGCAGGGAAACACCTGTCAGGTGGAATGTTATTAAAAAAGCCAGGAACAATACGCTATTACTTAAGCTTTTTGCTGTAGTCATGACTAAATGTCAACTAGTCATGACTACAGCAAATTCAAGTCACGTGCAGCTACCAGTTATCATCAAACTCCAAAGTGAATTCAGTAATGTGTTTTCTCTTGTCTGTGTTCAGTATTAAAGCTTAAAGTTGGCAAAATATCCTCAATTTTTCTTGAATGACTTAAAAAAAAGAAAATAAGTAAAATAAGATTACTGATTTTGATTAGAAAACATCCACAACTCAACCTTGCACATGCATGTGTGACATCTGTACACTCCTCTACTTTGAATGCTTTGTTGTCTGTATGCTGCTATGACAACTCGATTTCTGGGCTGCAGTGCATCTGTGAAAACAGCTTAATCCAAGAAATTATCTGATGTCATGACACACAAAAATTTTTGACTGTAATACGTTTCCTGTTTGGGTTGACTTCATAATGTGAGAAAAGGCAATAGCAGCTATATATATCACATGTGCAATTAATAACTCAACCCAACAAAAAATTTACTTTATCTATAAGAGTATGAAACACACTTTGTATTCTTGTAATAAAGAGCAGCAACTTCAAGGTTACCAGTGTTGTTGTGAATGTTTCACATCACCATTTTCTCAGCACGGACAAGAGCTGACAAGTGTCAGTGTGCTCTGCTTTCCCATTTTTTCCTATTATTTGCGTCTTCAATTAAAACCTGCCTACTGCTGCATGACTTTGACAGAGCTCGGACCTGCACAGACAGTGGCCTGAAGCCTGTGGGGAATCTGGATATGATATGTGAGGACGTGCGGGGTGCCGGGTGTTCTTTTAGTAAGGCCTGTTAGGCCAAGTGTTTCTCATCAGACACATATGTCTGTGGAGATTCACACCCTGCACCCATGTGTCACAGTGCTGTTGGAAAAATCACGATAAATGCCACCAAAAAATGAACAAGCAGCCCAGTTGTGGGCATGTTTGCACAGAAGATAATGCACTGTTTTTTTTTTCAACCTGTTATTCTTCAGAGAATGTAACTCAGTCACAACCATCTGGCAGTACTTAGGAGAAATTTGAAAAAGGCTCCTCTCAAGTAAACACCTTAGAATGTTGTCCTCGGCTCATGTTCCCATAAACCAAATAAAAAACCAAATAAAAATGAATAATATTATAATATTTCTGATTACAAAACAGGTAAAAGAGAGTTGCTTAAAACAGAAGAGGTTAAAGATTTGAAAAATGTAAAGGTTTTAAATTTACCAGGGGTCCTGGGAGGCCTTCACCTGGAAGTCCTGGTAAACCAGGCAACCCTCGAAATCCAATATCGCCCTGCAAAGATGAATGCACAGCAAAGATAGATGAACACTGACAGCACAGCAATTTACAATCTGTCAAACAAACTCGTGCACTGACTAAAATCGTGTTTCCCTTAATTAGCTTCCCTAAACAAAAGACTAAATCTTTCAATGGTGAGATAATCTCACTTATCTTCAGTGCAGATTCAAACACAACTTGGAAATTCATCTTACCAGGACTTGACAATGGCATTGGCTCTAAATTCTGACCTCACAGAAAGAACCATCTGTGTCATATAAGGTTTACATCCTACAAGATTTTTGAAACATGGGACATTTTTGATTGAATTTTGCATTCAAACCAATAATGAATTCCATAATGTTTATAAGCAGTGACTAACTATCATCACAATACTGTATGACAGATCCAGGAGCTTTGCAGACCGCATGTCTACATGTTATAATTGTATACTGAACCTGCGGGAAGCGTCATAAACAGCAACAACTGTTAATGTGGGCTTCTGTTATTCATGTTTGTGCTGTTGCTGGTCCTTTAGCATAGTTCCTATGTTTTTTCCTTCCTAGCGTTGCCAAGTGTGTGCTGATAGGGTATTGTCTTAATGTTGGGGTTTTTCTGCAGTACTGTTTCGTCATTACCTTACAATTTTAAGCACATCAACTGTTGTTGTAATTTGGTGCTATATAAATAAAATTGATTTGAAAATGGAAGTGAATTGATTTCATATAGCTTTAGTGTGTAGACATATTTTTAAAATGACTATGTAGACCTGCAAATTACCAACACATCACTATACTGGGACCTTTGTACAAACCACAAAATCTGCTGGAAAGTGTGGAAACCTACTGTAACCTTACTATAATTCTCAACTTTTTTTAAACAAAGACCCAACTTTACACTGACATTTGAAAGAAATGCACGCTGGAAAGTTCCATCTTATGGATCCACATTCTCACCTTCGGTCCAGGAACGCCCACTCCCTCCGGCCCAGGTTCTCCTGGAAGTCCAGGCAGCCCAGGAGGACCCTGAAAAAGCAAAAAGCTAACTTAAGTATGGATTTCCAGAAAGAAGAGTAAGTTAATATTGTACTCTGAAACAAGCAGAGTATAATAC